GGCATAATCCACCTGGTTGCTAACATGCTCAGCCTCGTCTTCATCGGAATCCGCCTCGAGCAGCAATTCGGGTTTGGTATGTCTCACAATTTCCGACTTCTAAATGCACGTCAAAGCTGAGGGCTCGTTTGAGAATGATTATGTAGAAATGATAGTATTAGTTACTCATATGTCATATAATCGTAATTTGGCAGTGAGAGTTGGAATTGTATACCTATTGTCTGGATTTGGAGGTAGCGTACTTTCTTCGCTTTTTATTCGAAAAAACATCTCGGTTGGTGCCTCCGGCGCTCTCTTCGGGCTTCTTGGAGCAATGCTTTCGGAACTAATTACCAATTGGACAATGTATACCAACAAGGTTAATCACCTCAACATGGAATTATTACGGGAATTGTTATTAGCACTCGCTAATTTGCTTTTGCTTCCACAGGTTGCAGCCCTTCTCACACTTCTGGTCATCGTTGCCATCAACCTCGCCATTGGAATTTTACCACACGTTGATAATTTTGCTCACATTGGCGGTTTTCTGACGGGTTTCCTCATCGGCTTTATCTTGATGCCCCGCCCTCGCCTTGGGTGGTTGGAGAACCCGAATGTTCCTGCCAGAATCAGTGTCGTCAAGTCCAAGTACAAGGCATACCAGTATGTGCTATGGATACTTTCTCTCGTTCTGCTCATCGTCGGATTCACAGTTGCATTGTCGATGCTCTACCGCGGAGAGAACGGAAATGACCGTTGCCGTTGGTGTCACTACCTCAGCTGTGTTCCCACATCTAGATGGCGTTGTGAAGAAAATTAACACTCTTACGTAAACTTTTAGTTGTTTTCGAAGGTTAGAAACTGGTGTTTTTCCTTGCAATGTATTTGTCGTGGATTTGGATATTCAAATTTTTTTCATATGGTCCTGTTCGTAATTGCAGTTATTCTCCATTAAATTGTTTTGAATTAAAAGATCTCTTGCTTGTTAATATTTCAAATTCTAAATATGGAGGGGGAAAAATTAGGGTAAATTATACTTTACCACCTCAGATGTGAGCTCTATTGCAACCTCATACAATATCTTCAAAACATTTCACTTTCATACATCAAATACTATTTTATTTCAATATAATACATCCGTTACATTTTCCATCCATTAATCCGTTAAAAGCTGACGTTATTGCTATATTTGTGCTGACGTGGTTGCCAAATTTGTGTCACGTGGCAATTTTTTTATTTTATTTTATGCATTTACAATAAGGAAAACTAATGAAAATGACTTGAAAAGTTTTAGTTTTAATTAAAAACCATGTTATAAGTTTTGTTTAATGATTAGTACAAGGCCTATATTAAAGTAGTTTTACTAAAAATGGCCTGACTATAATAAATTATGATTTGTCGATTTTAAATGCAGTTCATCGTTGTTTTGCAGACCTTCTTCTTTTTCGTCCTTAATGGAGTTCATCATTGTTTTGCAGACCTTATTCTTTTTCTTTGAAACAAAAATATAGATCCTCATGCTATTTAATTCATATTTTGTATTATTTCGTTGAAACGTGATCGTCGTTATTATTCATAAAGTATTCGTAGTACTGTTTTTCAATTTTTCTTCATTAATGGAGTTCATCGTTTGTTTATCTAGAAAATAAATTTGAAATCTGCATGTTATTCAATAATAACGACAAGTCACTGTTTCTGGACTGTAAAAATAAACTGTTTCTGGAATCTAAGTTACTGTTTCTGGAATCTAAGTCACTGTTTCTGGATCCAAATGAAATAGATACATTGTTTCTTAAATGTAAGCTAGAAAAGGAATAGTGAAATTCATTGTATTTGGATTCAAAGCAAAATAAGCATCATGTTTCTTAAATATAATCAACTAATGCATGAAAGAAAAGAAACAATCAAAGGTTAAAACATAGACTGTTTCTGGAATTTAAGTCACTGTTTCTGGATTTTAGTTCTTTTCTTTCCAGATACAGTGTTTATTTGTGCATAGAAAAAACAAACACTGTATCTGATTTTTTTTTTCATAAATAGTGTTATGTTTTATGTTCTCCAGAAACAATTTTATGTTTTTGTTTTGTTTTTCCTATTTACAAACGCCTGACATGTACGTATATCACCGAGGCCGTTGGTCCTTTTGGATCTGATTGGAATAAAATACTAACATTATAAATTGTTCGTGGTGCAGATAAGAGGATGAGGATGATGACGAGGAAGAGGAGGATAAGGGCACGAAAAAAGTAGACAATAGTTTTGAATGATTTTTTATTAAACTTTGAGGCATTTTGGTTAAACAACATTTTAGGATGGTTTTTTGTTAAATATTTGTTGGTCCAAACCCTTTACATTAAAGCATTATAATATTTTACCCTATTAAAAAAAATAAAAAAACTAAAACCCAGAAACTCATTCCCCCCCCCACTGACCCAGCTCTTTCTCCTCCACTTTCTTCACCTCCCCTCCCATCCAAAAACCCACCCCACCTCCACTTCCCCAGAGACCTAACCTTAGACTGCTCGCTCCTTGAATCCCTCGAATTCGACCACATCGGCGACCTCACGTCCCTCAACCCCTTCCCTCCTCCTTTCTCCTCAAACTTTTTCCCGAACCTCCGTCACGACAACGCTCCGCTCCAGTTGCCTTCACACCTAGACCTATCCCGCTCCCATCCAAAAACCCCAGAAAAAATTGCATCAACCACACTTTTATTCCCAAACTATCTCTGATCCCTCTCCAAATTTTCCATTTTTGCCACCTTCTATGGAGTTCTCTCGGACACAAACCGTCACTACCAGAAGGGGCTTGAATTAGAAGCTCGAAGAAGACTTCAGAGATGAAAAGCTCAAGGGCGAACCGGACCGGAAAGTCCTAGTCATTTTCGTATCGCAGGAAGATCGCTCAAATCTTGTCGGCCAGGGAAAGGTGTGGGGTGTTTGGGTTGCATGGAAGGGGAAGGGCTCGGGGAGGAAGATGGTTTTTTTTCCTTCTCTTTTTAATAGGGTAAATTATTATAATATTTTAAATGCATAAATTTTTTTTTTGGTTATGTGGCACAAATTTGGCAGCCACGTGGCACAAATATTGTAATACCCTGAAAATTTTAAATATATGAAAATGTGGAGAAAATCGAAAATAAATCGATGTATGATTATGAAGAATTAAATCAAGAATATTATTGAGCTTTTCTATGATTTTTCAAGAATTCATAATAATTCGTGTAAGTTAGTTTTAAATTAAACTAGTTACGAGGTTTAAAGTTTGGACCTTGATTATTTAAAATATGTAGACCTTTCGAGGTCAAAAATTATATTTTTGAATAGAGCTCGACCTCACGAACGCGTAGGCATAAACCGTTCGTGAAACAGAGTTAGAACAAAGAAGTTATTAACGTTTAAAGTTGGGGGCATTTTAGTAAAATAGTTGAGTTCAAGATAACTCCAGATTTTTGAAGAAAAATCTGGAAGGCCACGTGTGTGGCCGAGATTTAAAGACAGAAAAGATCGGCGGTGGAGATGGATTATAAAGGAGAGAAAGGAGGGAGGAGAAAAGGAGGGGAGGAAAGGATGACCAATGGGGAGAGAGAACTGGGAGAGGAAATGAGAGAATGGGGGAGCGGGGGATCCCTTGACCCGTGTGACCGGACCCGACCTGGTCGGGTTTCTTTCCTCTTGCCCGACGAAATTAGCCATTTTTCCGGCGAAATTACATCAAATTAACCATTGTAAAACCCTACATAACCTTCCTTCTCCCTAATACACCTCGAAATTTATGTGTGTGGCTTTGGATTTGGGAAAACTGCACCGGTGGGTACGGTGAACTCGTGACCTTGTTTCCCCAATTCTCAAATGATTCCATCAAATTAATACCACAATTAGACTCCCCTTAAGAGTTGGAACAAAGCCCATTCATTGGTTGGGACGTCGGAGTTGCTATGGAGTCGAATTGAGGACACCCAAATTCTAGGGTTCCGACTGGTTTTGACGAAATTGGAGCCTTTCCAGGCCAAATTGGCCTTGGTTGCAGGTATGAAATTTTCTCTCCTCATTGAGATCTTCATTTCTGTAATTTTTGAGAATTTTTAAAAATAATTGAATTTTTCGACAAACCGGGGTGGTCGACCGCCACCCGCGGCGGCGGGTGCGGTGGCGCACGGCCAAGGAGCCGACAAGTGTTTTATGCGAGTTTCGTTATTCTAATTATGTTTTTATAAATTTAATTGTTGTGGTTTGAATATTACTACGATTTTGGTATATGCGGAATTAAAGGAATATTTTCGGGTTTGGTTTAAAATTTGAAGTTTTGAACTACGAAAGGCTTGATCCCTGTTGAGGGTACGTAGGTAGTCTAACGAGACGTTAGATGCAGCCGCGAAATAAATGTGTTTAAATATTCGAGAATTAGTATATAGATGGAAATTGATCCAAGAGAATAACATAAATTAGCTATGTTTTTAGGTTGGGCCTACCATAAATATTTTTCCGAAATATACAAATATTTCGGGGCAAGGGTGTTACAAATATGGCAGTCATGTCAGCTTTTAACAGATCAATTGATGAAAAATGTAATGGATGTATTATTTTGAAATAAAATAGTACTTGAGGTATGAAAGTGAAATGTTTTGAAGATGTTATATAAAATTGCAATAGACCTCAAACCTAATGTGGTAAAATATAATTTACCCACAAAATTATTTGTGCAAAAAAACTGTTCTGAAAACAAAAAAAAGGAAAAAAAATTAATGATTTGGCTTCGCCCGGGTTCGAACCGGAGACCTTCAGTGTGTTAGACTGACGTGATAACCAACTACACCACGAAACCAAGTTGTCAGTTTTGCTCCAACACACCAATTTAAGGCGTCAATTTACTTGTTTGACTTTTTTTTCGGTCAACAATTGTATGGCTCATTCAGCATTCATGAAGATCCACACGTTCTTTGTTTTACACCAACCCAACGATCACATCAATATAAAAACGCATTTGGTGCTTTTGGCTACATCAAACCTAGTACAGTGAAGTGTAGGTTGATGGAATTGTGCAAAATGGGAAGCCGAACATTGATGATGATCGGGACGACGCTAACGTTGTTGTTTTCATCGGTGACATTGGTGTCTAGCACCGAAGAATGTGCTTCCGTGACGTCGCTTGTCACCACGTGCTACACGTTCATCACGTACGGGACACCGGACCCGTTTCCGGGGTCTCCGTGCTGCAATGCTATGGCCAATCTCAAGGTTATTGCCGACACCATTGAAAACCGGAGATTTGCATGTAGATGCTTGATGGGCCTCATTGCAACGTACAACCCAAATGCCTATGCCATTGCCACTTTGCCCGACTTTTGTCAAGTCTCTTTGGGCTTCAACATCGATCCTAATACCGATTGCAACTTGTAAGTCTCACATTGCCACTAGTCGAGAAGAAAGTTTCTGCAACCGATATGTTATTGTGATCGTATCTCAAGTTAGTCAAATATTTTTATGTCTAACTGAGTGATTTGGTGAGATACCGTCACAATAACATCCCGTGTATGCAAATTTCTCTCTAATTTTTGTTGATGGTTTTGGTTTGGGATGGATGTCTAATGATGTTTACATGATGGTGCAGCATACTGTGAGTCACAAATTTGACCAAAATAAAGAGTCGGCATTCAGCTGCAGATGAGGGAGCTAGGTTCGGTTTTTAGGTTGATGAAAGTATGAATAAGTGATAGTTTTAGTATTAATGATGGTTTTAGTATTCTATACATAGATCCTACTGATTGTACAAATTATGGAAATAATATGTTAAACAAAACTTTAATTTTTAATAAAAAAGAGATTAATTGGTGACTTTATTACGAAAGTCCACCATTTCGGAGGTTGGGAAGACTCATAGAGACATTTAAGCTTTTCTCTGGTCACTATCGCGTGATCCACCAGTGCCAGGAATCGAATCCATGACTTACCTTGTGAAAAAGGGACCTGAAAGTCGTCCCCAACCCAGCCACCCTATGGTGGTTATGTTAAACAAAACTTAGCTAGCTAAACTAAGGTTAAATGGTCAATTATTCAAATGTAGTATGGTCTTTTGTTATACATTGTTAGCTCATTCCTTATCAGTTTAAACTTTTCGAATAATTATTAGTTAACGGTGCTCTGATAAGACAAGACTATCTTACCTTTTGCAAAGTAGCAAAACAAAAATTGGGAACATAATGAGCCAAACGGGAAGCTTTTGGTTCACGGGGTCCAAAATTATTCCACGACCAATTATAATAAAGAATGTTGCTAATTATGATTTGATTAGATTTGGTTGGCAATATGTATCAATCAAGATCTATTCACATTTGGTGCATTTTGTCACAGACTCACAAACCCACAGAGGACAGAAAGGGTTAGTGATTCGTAATGCCAGCCATAAAGTGAAAGGATTTTCTCCGTGAACGTACAGTGCGATTCGATTCATGCATGAAAATTGGAAAGAAAGTTTGTGTTGAAAATGACTTGGTAGATTATCATATGAATTTGGATTTTCTCTACCTTTCTATCCGAAGTCTAAAAATTAGAAAACTTGGATCTTTTAGTTTAAGTGAAAGAGCGTTCGAAGCTTATGGTTTGTGTGAGATGAACTAGCGGAATGAGTAAATGAAGACCGTCGGATTCAAATTGAGTAGTTTAGATTGTCTAGTCCTTGAACTCAGAATAGTGAGATTCGAAGAGAATCTTTGTCCATATCATATATCATATATATATATCCCATCACGTGATATCAAATGTCAAGGAACACTTCTCTCTTGCACATGGATATATCCTCACTCCCTACCCACATGATGAGTGAGATGGGGAGACCAGGAAAAATCTCTGGTGTAATCAAGTTATTCTTTGGTGCAAGACAACCAACTGGTATAAAAAAAAGGTGATCCCGAGTCAACAAGGCTCACCGTTGTACGAGGATCGGAAAAAACGTATATCATACTCAGCTCTACCTCTGCTTTGCAAAGACAGCCAATTGGTATAACAAAAAGGAAATTATTCTAAAGACTCGAGTGGGTTTATAAGCAATACCAGATTAAAAGTTCAACACATTAGTCATACTCATACTCATATTCTAACACCTGAGTCAATAAAGCTTCCCGTTGTGCGAGGATCGGAGAAAATGTATATCGTACTCAGCTCTACCTCTTCTTTGCAAAGATAGCCAATTGGTATAACAAAAAGGAAATTATTCTAAAGACTCGATTGGGTTTACAAGCAATACCAGATTAAAAGTTCAACACTTGAGTCATACTCATGCTCATATTCTAACACCTGAGTCAATAAAGCTTCCCGTTGTGTGAGGATCGGAGAAAATGTATATCGTACTCAGCTTTACCTCTGCTTTGCAAAGACAGCCAATTGGTATAACAAAAAGGAAATTATTCTAAAGACTCGAGTGGGTTTACAAGCAATACCAGATTAAAAGTTCAATATGTATACAAGCACACAATCAAAATTACGTTGCAACGGAGTTTGAATCCGTAAAGGTAAAGTCACAGTTTCGGAGACGATGTTCATCTTTGGACATCCATAGTCCCAAACTTTGATTTAGTAAGAACAGTGTTTGTACATCTAAGGTCAAGTAATTAAACTCACAAACATCGCTGCCATACGCAGAAATACATATATAAAAGAAGAAGACACGCAACATCACCGCAGATTGGAGCTTCCAACTCTATTCAGGCGGCTGGAGCTGGAAAAGGCTTTATTTCGGAGGTCACCATCTTCAGCGAAGCTCGTATCTGAATGAGTTCCTGCATTCCAAGACTCCGGAACAGACTTCTTGGTCAAACCATATTTCTCAAACTCAAGTCTTTGCCTAGGGGCACTTTGTGACCTGACCTTAGCTCGGGATGATTCCGTGTTAGCCATGTAGTTAGGGTGACTGGCATACCCATTAAAGAAGCCCCACGAGCACTCACTCCTTGCTGGCGTGAAGTGATGACCTCTTCTACCACTGCTTCCAGGTCTACAGGAGGCAGAAAATGCTTGTGGGCTGTTCGGGGCGGTCCTAAAAGCTGCTTCATCCGTTGCCAAGGGATATTTCAGATATCGCATTGAAACAGCGTTGATAGAAGCTTGACTTGGATTGAGGTTTGATCCTTTTGTCGAGCGTTTTGATGGAGAGTCATATGTCATAAAGTTTGGGTTGTAATGATCTGAAGACACAACGCGATGTGCTGTTTGAAAGGCTGGGGGTCTACGTTGGGAACCCAAGTGAGGCTTCCAAGTATCTACTTCAAGAATTTTGTCAACCTTCACATCATCTGAGTGCTCATATCTCAGCGAACCATCTCGGCGGTTGTCCCATGTACCTTCTTCCATCCACTGGTCTAACCAACCTGATGCCAGCCGTCTTCTGTCTAGATTTGTGGCGTCCCTTACGTTTGAATTTGAACGGCATCTCTAAAAATAACGGTGTGCAGTAATTTGATTAAAATCCAAGTTTCATTTAAATTTTACAAATGAAATCGAGATAAGTATCGAAGAAAGGAAGTTCAACAATGTCTCAAGATAAGATTGAACATCATTCAGAGGGGTTGAATTTGATTGAAAGGAATCCCATAATTACATCTAAAACATCATAAAAGACAGGAAGGCCTGAATGAAATCCTACACAGCGATCAAAGTAAATACCTGCAGTATTGAGGGCCCGTCAAATTTGCCGCTATAAACGCGGTGCTGGTATCCAGTTTTGTCAGGGCTTTCTGGCTGCTGCAAGTAAACATCAAAGAAAATGAATACCACCAATTACGTCGCAGCAAGCAAAGTTGTACTCGACATGGTGAATAGTAGTCAAATTTGTCCTTAGGATGAATCAATAAAACACTAATGGCGGATTCATGATACGAGTATAAAATCTGAATCAAATTAAACTAGATAAAAAGAATCAATAAATGGAATGTGGTAAGAGGAGAAGAAAATTCTGCTCACCGGGTGATCCGATAGGGAGGATTTACTGCAGAATGCATGAGTGATTGACTAGCACGGGCTCGGGCTTGGACTCGGACCAGTGTCTGCATACGCCTGAGCATGTCTGCCGATTGCTTTCTCACAATGCGGCCTCTCACCAAAGCTTGAAGCTTCACCAGTGATTTGAGTGCTCTCAGGGCCCTTCTTGCCTTTTCACAGTTTCACAAAGTTTCAGACAATCGGACCATCAGCATACTACAAATCAACAAAATACGGTACAAAGTACAAATCGAATGTATGAAACGTACGCATTACAATTACAATTTTTTTAACTTCTTAACCGCGACGTTATTTCCCGTGAATTTGAAAATTAGGTAGGACACAGTAGCAACTCAACTCGAGTTCTTGCATACAACTTTTAGAAAGGTAGAGGCTTGTGGAAGAAATCATGATATCACTCACAAAAGCATCCTTACCAAACAATCAAATAAAAGAAAGAACAAGAATATAAAACAAAAAACTCATCATCTACGTTAAATAAAGTCACATCTTAATCTTACACGCATGTTTGATTCTAAAAGTCTAAAATCGCTTCTGACTGACGTTATTGGCTCGTTTGGAAGTGTTCTAGTCACCTAGCAAGAAAAGCGCTTCCAACAAAAGAGCTTATAAGCAAAAGTGATTCCTACAGAAACAGTCTGAAACGGGGCCATAAATAACAGCATCCCAATTGCCGTTTCATCCAGCTAATCTATGCTACTTACTCAATTAATTAATCAAAGATTAATTTGAATAAATTCCAACTTGATCAAAATCCCACTAAGTTTGAATTCCAACTCAAGTGGATAGGAAAAAGCAAAGGTCGGAAAGTATGGGAGCAGTTTTCTCCAAGTGAAAGCCATCATATCATCAGAAAGGATGGAATGGGCCCACCCGCCTATACCTAGGTCAATTATGTACAAAATGACAGTTTTGTCCTTCCCCGTATAATCCGGCATTGGTAACAGCCTAACAGCAGAATATCCCAGCCCATACCTAGGTCAAATTTCTACATAATGACAGTTTTGTCCTTCCCTGTGTAATCTGGCATTGGTAACAGGCTAACAGCAGAATAGCATAGATTGTCGAGGACGGGAGAATTTTTAGTGTGACCGGAACACAAAATAATATATTACCTGTCAACATACAAATGATAAGATATGTGTATTAAAAGTTAATAACTTTAAGAATAAAATTTCTCATTACTTATATAAATACAAGTGGTGTGCCACTCATATTCCGATCACAATGAAAAATTTCCCGTCGACGATGAAATTTTTTTCATTGTGATGGGAACCTGAATGGTACACCGCGTGTTTTTATATAAATGGTAAAAAAAATTATTTTTTAAGTTATTAACTTTTTAACACACATATTTCACCATTTGTATACTAACATATAGTGTACCACTTCTTGTACTTGTCACATTGAAAAATCTTTACTCGATGACAAAGGATGGTTCTTAATTCTCTAATCAGCTGCGCCCACGTCATCTTGGACATTCCAAATACAAGCGCAAAAGACGATAATAACCCTCACGTAAGAAATAAAGAATAAATCCCCCCAGAACAATTTAAGTACGGAGTACACGTACGAATCTACAGTTGGTCGATCTACAGTAAAACAATTCTACGGATGTCACAGAGAATCACTGCTCGAACGCTCCGACAGCAACCCAGCGAGTTGACGCATCAACAGAAACCGTGTCGGCGGATATCTAAATTTTAATTTGGAGAATGCTAATACACTCTCCAGTCCACAGCGCAACTCTCGTGAATTCTCTAATAATAACATTGTTTAGAATTTATCGATAATTTTCGTACTAATTATAAAATATTTTGTCAAAATCAAGAGACGTAAGAGAGTCAAACTTTGGGTGAGTTCTTTTAGCAATTCTCTTAATGGAGGAAGATATGTCAAACATGAAAGACTTTTCAATGTAATCGGTACACA